AAAAAGGAAACGATAGATTGGATAGAAAATAACATATAATTAAAGATTATCGAGAAAAGTCCCCTATTTTGGGACAGGCTCCTAATATGAGACAGCGGGGTTTCTACTAAATTAGTAGGCATCGTCTGCTGGTTCCACAATGAATTTATTGCCCTCGGGGCGAGATCTATTTAGTGGAAAATTCATTATTAGATTGTGTAATCGCCGCGAAAGGAGATCGCGATTGAATTTGGATGTTGAAAACCCATCTCCATTAGAAGCCTGTCTGAAAATAGGGGACCTTCCTCTAATGATTAAAATGATTTTAGTGTCAAAATAATTATATGTATTCTCAAAGTGACAATGGTATAATAATATTTCAATAAGACCGTAATATTGTTGGAATGTAAGGTTATTAAATGCCTTTAAGAATATCAGAGACTGTTGCGTATACACAAAACAACGTGTTAATTGAAGTATATAAGAGTTGATCTGACACTTCTTTTCCTCTGTGAATCTAAATGCGCGTTCCTAAACTCATTGAAAGAAGTGTCGCGACCATTCTGTCCACTGCACCCTGAGATGTAAACGGATCCCTAAGGCGTCGTGATGACGGTAGTGCGTTGTGGGAGGCCGCTGGTCCCCTTGTCGATTTCGGTCAAGTTGTTGCCACCGAAGTGGAGGAGTCGCAGTTTGACGAAATCAGCGAAAGCGCCATTATCCAGCGCGCGGATGCTATTGTCGGACAGCCTGAGATCCTGCAGATTGGAGAGTCCGGCAAAAGTGCCGACTACAATGTGAGACAGTTTGTTTCCGTCCAGCCGCAGTTGTTCCAGCTGAGACAGCTCCGCGAACGTTTCCGGCTCGAGAACGCTGATCTCGTTCTGCTGAAGGTAGAGTCTCTTCAGACCGACCAGGTCACGGAGCAGCGCCCTGGAGACGCTCGTTATCCGGTTGTCATTTAAGAAGAGATCCTCCAGCTTGCTCAATCCTCGAAAGGTGCCGCCCGACAGGCTCTCCAGCCGATTGCGGTCCAAGTGGAGGCGATTCAGCTCGGCCAAGCCGGCGAAGGAACCCGGCGCGACGCGGGAGATTTTATTGTCGTTGAGCCACAGGTACAGCAGCTCGGGATTTAGATTCGCGAAGGAATCCGCCTCGATCGCCTCGATATCGTTGAGGCCCAGGTAGAGCCACGTCAGATTCGACAGGCCGGCGAACGAGTCCTTCGGTACCGAGTTGATCTTGTTGAGGATCAGCGAGAGCGACTGCAGGCGTCCCAGTTCCGCGAACAAGTGCGCCGACAACGGTACCACGTTGCCGTCCAAGTGCAGGCGCTCCAAGTTGGGCAAGCCGCGGAAGGACTCCCGCTTCAGCACGGATATCCGGTTGCCTTGATTCAGGTACAGGTGCGTCGCCGTCACGTTCTTGAAGGCGTCCGCTCGAATCGCCAGGAGGTCCAAGTCGCTTATGTCCAATCGATCTTCGGAACGGCGTTGCGTAACCTCGACGAGCGCTCCCTTGTAGTGGCAGACGTCGTAGCCGTCGACGTCCAGGCAGGTCGGCTCCTTCACCTCCGACGAGGCCCGCGCCGAGAGGAGCGGGAGAGCGACTTGCGCAAGGAGCAGAAGAAGAAACCGCGACATCGCGAGAGTCCGAGCGGTCGAGTGACGCGGATGCAACTGCCAAGCGCGCTTCGCGGGGTTTTGTATCCCGCGGAGAGTACGCGATTAGATAATGCGGCGTGACTTTTGGCACTGATCAGCGTCATCGCCGAGAAACGATCGCGAGTGCATTCTCGGAAGGGGAGTCGATTACGAAATGTCAGAGTTGAAGATAGGAGAAGCGTGTGGCTCACGGTGGCGACAGCGAGATAAATCCATCGCGCTATTAAACGCCGCGACGTCGACCTGTGCCGGATTTTTCCGAAGAGACGATTTCGAGAGCGTCGAAACGCGCTGAATTAATCGCGCCAATTAAAACGGACGCGCGGCTGAATATATCCCCGCGTTAAACGCGGCCCTTAATAATCGCAGGTCCGCTTTAGCAAACCGCGCGCATCGCCGATGGCAGGTTGTTCGCCGCTGATTATCTGTAACGAGCAGTAGAAAGTACGTAATAGTCCAGTGAGCACCCGGGACAGTGAGGCGATCGCGGAAAGTGGAGTGAAACGGTGGAAAAATAATACGCGTTGTGTGTGTACAAGAACGCGAGCATCCCCGGGACGGGTAATCCGTTTTGCTATATCCGTCTTACCCGAGGCGATCGTATTTTTCGACGATTCGACGTTATATTTCTCTTTCGCGCGCACGCACGATCGTCGTTAAATATTTACCGGCGCAAATAGACCCACCCTCGAACGGCGTTGATCGCCGCGGTGCGCTTTTACAGAGTCAAAGTTCACGCGTTTAATTCCCGCAGTCTCGTGGACCTCGAAGGGACTCCTTCCGGCGAGTCTTTCGCAATCCCGACGAATCCGTCGGGACCCGACGAGTGTACGGCCACGTTCCAGGAGAGACGAGAGACAAATGAGACAATATGTACCGCGGCGAGAGATTTTCAAGGCTAGCGGCGTCTCGCGAGCGGTGCCGAGAAACTTTCTAAGGTATTGGTGAAAACATCAGAAGAGCGATTCGCCTCTCGCTCGCGAGGTCATCGAACGATGTTACATCCCACTCGCTCGCCCGCTCGCTCGCCCGCCCGCTCGGTTTCTCGATCCGAGAGCGCTCCGCGGTCGTTCGGTCGGCGGTTAATGACAAACCGCGCCGACGCCGCTAATGCGACGATGCAAATTTCAATCGAGTGCGAGAGAATTGTGGAGTATCCGCATCACTTGGCATCTCGCGCTTGACATTTCGACTCGATCCCTTTCGCAAGGTCGTATCTCGGTTTAACCCCTTTAAGCATTTTTCCTTTCAGCCGACTTTTGGATCGCTGCTTGATGATTCCGGCGTCAGAATTGCAAATTTCAAATGCGGATTTTCAGGCGCCATATTGGATCCGCCATTATGAATTTTGTAATTCTAATCTTATAGGAATGATTTTTTTACTACGGGACACCTTATGGAAAACAAAATGTTTTCATTAAAAGTTGTAACTTTGAGCTATATTGAATCGATTATTGATAATTTTAGAATTTTGAGTTCAGATTTCAAATTAGCAAATGAAAAACCTTCTAGATGTGAAGTAGTAAAGACATCGGAGTGAAAAAGGTGTTGGTTTGTTTAATTTCGAGAGGTGTAACGTAGAGTAAAGTCCCCTATCATGAGATAGGATCTTAATATAGGACAGTGGGGTTTCTGTTCAACCAATAGGCATCATCAGTTGATTCCACCATGAATTTATTGCCTTTGGAGCGAAATCTGTTCCGCTCCATTTCATTGTTAAATTATGTAATCGTTGGGGAAAAAAGATTTGTGATAGAATTTGGTGAAAACCTGCTGTCTCATAATAGAGGACTCTCCTCTATATGTTACACCGTGCTTCAAAGGGTTAAACAGTAAAACCGGAAATTGTGTACAATCGAGGTACGACCTTGCGAAAGAGATCCAGCCGATCTCTCCCGAGAATCAGCTTCGGCTCGTTGTTTTTCCTCGGCGACGATAGCGAACCGCGGCCTATTATCGCGCGGGAAGAAAAAGAGAAGAAAAAACGCGCGAGCTGCGACGGTAATTGCGGCTAATTGCTCGCCTCGCGACCGACGCGTTCTCGCGCCTGTCGGTCGGAAAAGCGCGATTGTCGAAACAATTTCCACGTAGCGGTCGCTTCTTCGGAGCCCGCGTCCCACCCCGGCGACCCTGTCGATCGGGCTTTTATGAGCTCCGTCATGTATCTCTCCTCCGCGCGGAGGAGGGGAACGCGCTCCGGTGCAACCGGTGCGCAATACAATGACCGCGTTACGGCGCCCGACGTGTCGACGTCTATGCAGCCGGTGAATGTCACCTGTAATGGCCAGCATTACTCGCCTCGCGCGCGGCAAGTACGCGCGCGCGCGCGCGGCGAGTAATTGACATTTGGTCGGCCGTACTCCTAATCGACTTTTGACACGCGGAAAATCGCACGACGGGACGTCAGCTGGAGGGCAGTCGAGCTCTCCGCGACGAGGAGTCGCTCCATTTCGTCGCAAGAGCTCCGCCTGGGGTTTTTGCAGGAGACTCGAACGACCGAGGGCGGCTTTCGCAAACGTTGGTTGATCGAAGGTTAATTATTGATCCTCTGTCTCCTCTTAGGTAATAACTAGTGGTGTTGCGAGTCTGATGTATGGGACCTACAATTTTACGTTGGTCCCGCACGGCTCTGCCGAGGAGTTCTCTCGGGCAAATGTACTCTCGGTAGGTTGCCTCGTCCTACCGAGAGGTGGCGATCGAATAAAAACCGGCCAATTCTAGTCGGGATTCTGAACTCGGATCCTCGGCGCGCTAGAACAGCGCTTATCTCTCTGCGCCACGATCGCCGCTCGGATAATAAGAAACATAAACGCCATTTAGGACCTGGCACAGGTGGAGGCGGCCAATTAAATTACCAACACCTGCGTTATATGTCCGGAAAGTATCGGCGCGCAGGACAGGTTGGGAAAAGATATGCTATATGGATTCACATAGTAATTTAACCTGTGCCAGGTCCTAAATGGCGTTTATGTTTCCAATTGATTTAAATCTTTAAAAGGACCGAGTTAAAATTTAGTTGATTAGACAATAAGATAGAACAAGATAGGGAGTTGAGCGAACTACTGGTTAACAGCTAACCGACGTTTGTGAAACTGGCCCCGAGTTCGGGAACGGAGCGGGACATTCCCCTCGGCCTCGCCCCGCCTCGGCGAGCTGCGACCGTTGACAGTTTCTTATCGCAATTCCCTGGTCTCGCGGTTGCGCGATTGGAGGGGAAATTGGACCCGCGTACCCGCGATCGGGCTTGTTCTTCTCTTGCTTATTGGAGGATTGTGTTACCCGCGGGGCGTCTCCGCGGGCCGTTGCACACGCTTCCCCGCGAACGTGACGCAAAATGATCCACATGACGTTTGACGTTGCGATCTTGACATTAGGCGTGGCAAGAAAGTTACCGCCGTCGCGGTACCGTTCTTATGAAACCGATGGAGGTCGGTCGTGCTCGCGCGCGCTCGCTCCTCCGTGTAACCTTTTACATTTTGCGCAAGCGATATTTCTCCGCGCGGATAATAAAGAAATGTATACGCTTTCCACGCGATGCGAACTGAACCGAAAAGCTGAAAAATAAGGAGCGAGCGTGGGAGAAGATTTAGGAGCGAGGAAGGAAGAAAGAAAAAGAGAGAGAGAACGATAGGCTGGATCGCTTCACCTGTGCACGGCATTCTTACAAATCCCACGTTACGAATGGATTTTTCCACTGGGAAACCGACGGACTCCGCCGCGGATCTGACGTTATCCTCTCTCTCCACCGCGTCGCGCGCTTTTATCGCGGCCAAGTGACTTTAACTTTTCACTTGGTTAAAAGTGAAACGAGAGCAGCTTGATATCCGAGGCGACTTCGGCGCGTGAAGAAACGGTCGCCGTCCGAAAGAGGCCGTCGGTCCCCGCGCGTCAACCGGGACCAGGTCGGGAGAAAATCGAAAACGACGGCGGGCGCAGCCGCGCGCGTTATCGCCGAACGGATCGTGCAGCGACTCGTTCCAATTCCGAAAGGGAGAGGGACATTTCGAGAAAGTCCAGATTCCGACTCACCGGAATTGCTGTGAGCGTGTCCGGTAACGTTGCCGGTGGCCGAGTGAACCGCGTTGGTAGCGGCGTTCGCGACCTGTTTCAAGGCGCTTATCACCAGCATAGTTCCCGTTGACCTGGCTAATTGCCCGTCGCGATCAGCATCTGGCGCGAGAAACGAACGCACGCAGGGCCGGCAAACGCGACGCGACGCGACACGGGGCTCCGGCAGGCCGAGAGACTTGCGTGGCCTCGAGAAAGGCGCGGAAGCGGCCGTGGAAGCGGCTCGACGCGGACTGGGCTCGGCTGGAGAACGGTCTAAGCGCGCGCGACTGGTCGCTCGGCGCCGAGCAGCAACGCGAAAGGGAACCGAGCCCCCCGTCGCCGTCGCCGGCGCCGTCGTCATCGTCGTCGTCGTCTCGCTTGGTCCCCTTCCTCGGAGTTTCACCTTCACGGAAGTCTTCCCTCGCCGGCGATTAATGCCGCCGACCGTAGACGAAGACGACTTCTTCGACACGCATTGTGACGGCGCGATGCGTTACGTGGACGCTCGTTGTTCCTGTCCGTACCAGCCCGGAAGCTAATACGCGTAATATCGCTGATACATTTGAAGCACTAATTACGGAGGAGGCGAGCAACTCGCGCGAAATTCTGACTGCACACTAAGGTGCTTATAGCCAGGTCTTATATTTAACTTTGTCTTAAATACACGTTCAAAGGGTATTCAGTCAAAGAATGATCGGTGTAAACGTTGCACAGAGGGTTTTTTCTGGATAGGAAATATTGCAAGAGGTACTCAAGATGATCTTTAAGTATAAGAATTGACTGGAAACAAGGCTCAGTGCGCACTCAGTGTACACTAGTGCAACCAACCGAATTCGCTATAATTCTCTCTCCGTCGTACAATTCTCTGTTAAACAACACACAAGACTTGCCTAAGAAGAGTCTAAGGCAAGATGTAAATAGCCTATACTTGCAATTTTAGTAGAATGTGAATTCATATACTGTTTCTTTCCACATTTGTCCTGCGCGTCGGTTTCATAACGCAGTCTTA